AACGAGCACAATCCGTTCCAGCAGGTTGCTCGTTAACCGAAAATCTCATTAACCGAAACCATTGTTTCAATGGGTTTTTGGGTAATTGGTTCCAGCTCACCGAAAATTGCCTAAATTCAACAAAGAAGGTAGAAAAGTTCACTTACTTTGAGGTGTGTATGTAGAAGGCTCCTGGATGATGATGATGATGTGAATTTAAAGTGGGAGGTGGAGGAGGAGAAGGGAGAAGAGAAGGAAGTGGAGGTGGAGGAGAAGCATTTTACTGCTTCTTGGAAGGTGAGTCACCTTCCATGAAAATGTCAGGAACCTCTGGACTGACAGATTCTCCACCATGAACATCCTCTCTCCTTCTTGAAGTGGAAGGCTGAGGGATAGCTTCTTGTTCCCTCTGCCTTTTACTGAAGAAAGTGTCAATTTGTGGTCTGTGGGGCATCTCTCCTCCTCACCATTAACTTATGTTTTAGAAGGAGACCACTGAGTCCTCAACATGACTCAAAGTTAGTTCAGTTTTTTCCACTTCTGGGTGCTTTGAAGCCAGTTCCCTGAACTTCTCCCAGTAGTAAATCACATCTTTCAACTGTTTAGCTGACATATGGTCATCACTTTCAATTTCCTCCTCACCACTGTCAGCCTCTACCTGTAACATCTCATCCAGTTGCTTCAGGTCATCAGGAGTAAGTTCCTCCTCATGAGACATCACAAGCTCTTCCACATCCTCCTCCTCCACTTCAAGGCCCAATGACTGACCAATGGACACAATCTCCTGGTCCAACTCTGTTTCTTCCTCAAATTGAGGGATCTAGTGGAGAATTCTTGCCATGATGACACAATCAATTTTACAGCCTCCAGGATGTTGAATTGTGTCTTCCAGAAATGTTTAAATGTTAGTTCAGGATCGTTGGAAGTTGCTTGATGACACCTAAACATTTTCTTCATGTACAACTTCTTGAAGTTGCTGATCACTTTCTGGTCCATGAGGAGAAGAGCCTATAAATGGTGTTTATTGGCGGTTAGGTAGCTCTTGACAGAAGGGCAAAACACATCAACAGCCCATTCATTAAAGAGATATCTTGTCACCCATGCCTTATGGTTGGCCTTCCAATAAACTCCAAGCTTTGTTCTTACGGTAAAGAGGCTTCATCTCTGGTGATGAATGTTCTTTTGGGCATCTTTTTCCAGAACAGCCCAGTTTCGTCCACATTGAACACTTGCTGTGGAAGATAATTTTCTTCTTCAATCAGTTCTTTAAATTCATCTAAAAACTTTGCTGCCCCTTCCTTATCAGCACTAGCAGCTTCACCATGCCTAACAACACTGAAAATGTCACTTCTTTTCTTAAATTTTTCGAACCAGCCTTTGCTGGCCCGAAAATCTGGCTCTTTCACAAATGAATTCAGTAGAAACTGAATCACCTTTCATCTGTTTTTCCCTAATCCAGATGATAAGTAACCTCTCAGTTTCTGCAATTAGGGATCTACTTTTAAACACTCTTGTAGATTTGTCTCTCACTTTCACTTCTTTAAATTTGTCTTTCTGTGCAAGAATTGTCGACACAGTTGATGTCGACATGCCATATTCTTTGCATAGCGCATTTGTTCTAATGCCTTGTTCATGTTTTTTTATGATTTCCTGCTTGGTTTGGATTGAAATCGCTTTTCTTGATCTCTTAGGCCCCATGCTGGATTCAAACAATGTCAACACGTGCTTTTTAAAGTTAAACTTGTTGTAAATAAAGAATATTTTCTTTAAAATAACACTGCACTGCGCTATATATTGTCAATATGTAAAATAAATTTCAAAATGACCAATAATTTGCTTGGAAACACAGAAAAAAAGCGTTTAGTTGAAGAGAGTCTCAAGCAAGATGTTACCTCTAGTGAAAACAGAGAGACTAACGCCTGTTTGCTGTGTTAAGAGGCTGGATGCCGCGCATTAAACTAGTCACTTTACCTTCAATTATGTTCAATAATTGTTAAAATGACTAAAAAATTTAATATTAAACTTTTAAAATTATTGAATAGTATAAACTTCTTGATATTTACTAAAATAGTAAGGAATTTAAGCCCTAGAACTGATTAATGTATTGGCGGACTAATACTACAGCTGGTTGACCGCCCAGTGCAAGTCAAAACTTGTTGAGGTCGGCTCGTAAGAAACTCGTTAACCGAGGGGTTGTTGGTTAACCGAATTTAAGAATCTTATGGGAGGTAACTCGCTAACCGAAATCTCGTTAACCGAGGCGCTCGTTAACCGAGGGACCACTGTATATCACCATTGCTATTAAACATGTTGAACCCTTGATACTTGCCTTCTATAATGAAAACAAAAACATGAAAAAATCACATATGCAAAAACTGGCAAATGTGTTTGGGACTGGCAACTACCCTAGTACAGGTCAACTGGCATATTTGGACTTAGACTTACCTCTGATGATGGTGAGGAGAAATTGGAGGATATAAGCGGCGATGAGGCAAGTAGAGGCTGGTGGATGTTCCCATACAAACATGGAATTCTTTTAAAAAGAACAATAAAATTCTTCATATGCTGTTGTATATGAAGGATATCTTATAAAAAATATTATTTCTTTGCAGATTTCTACAATTTATGTACTGTACATCCACTTCCATTTTTTTTTCTTTTAGTTTTAAAATATAGTTCCATTGCAGTATGCATCAGGAGGGGGCGAGAGCACCACGAGCCAACGTTCCAGTCATGAACCTCAATTTATTTATTTTATTTTATTTTTTAAAGCACTGAATGATTCTTGTGTGATGCCCATCGGGATACCAAAGCATTGTTTACAGGACAATTGTTCTTGCATATGACCCTCTATACGATCAAAACAACTCGCTTTAACTACATCCATCCAATAGCCATTGATATCCATTGATCAAAAAAAATTTCTCGTGCAAATTATGGGTTGTTTAAACTCAAATTAATCACAGTCTTACAAGGATTCCAGTAATGCAAGTTATATTTTTCTACGTCAAGTCAGTGACATTTTATAAGGAAACAATATTTAACTGAAGGCACCTTCGCTTGTCAGCCTACCCACGCCCCGCCACACGGCCAACCCGTGCACTACAGCTGTGTCTGTTTCCTTGTCGATCGTAAACCTGGCATCGCATGGTTCCACGATTAGTAGCTAGCATTGCGCTTATCATCAGTGTTTTTTCTTATATAGTGAGAGGACACCACTAACATTCAGATTGAACTGTGTTATGGCGACTATGAAGTGATATTGTCTGGTTTTTTGTGACTGCAAGGTGCGTTGACTGTTGTTTTGAAAATGCGAGCAGTGGCAGTGGTTATTATTGTTTTTAAATTATCATCGTTCGCTCAGTTTTTGTGACTGTGAAGTGAGCAGTGTAACTTTGAAAATGTCTGGGAAGGTCAAGGCATCCAAGACAACCATGTCTCTGAGGTGAAGCTTGGCAGTGTTAAGCAGCATGAGACTCCCCAGAGGCTGTGTGGAAGTCAGAGTGACGTCTCCACTCCACCTACAAGAGTCACCTTAGCCTCGAAGGGGACATGTGATGATGACCAGACTTATCCAATGTGATGTGGCGAGTGTTGTTTACTTGTTTTGTACTGATAGTATTATTGTAGGAATTGTTTTGTCGGCGATACATGTGTGCTTGGGGCCTGACTGAAAACGTATCCAATTGAAGGCCATGTTATAATGTTCCCTATCTACGATATTTCACCTAGCGATGGGTTTTTCAGGAGCATAACCCTACCATATCTCAGGGGTTACCTGTATCCTTTGTTTTGCATAAAGGTTCCGTTCCTGAAAACCATTTGTACATCAATCCTTCATAATTTGAGGGATGCCCATAGTTAATTTCCCATATAGAGCAAAATTTTGTTTTAAATCAAACATAATTAGGTAAATTCTGGTTTATATCTCACTCCATTACATATCTCACAGAAGACGATTACTAAGAGAGCAGTTACACATCACTGTCAGAAAAAGTCACTATAGGCATTATTGTATCTGAAAACAATCCGGTATTAAAACATTAATAAAACCTAATCTATAACAATGTAACACAGTTGCATAATTCATTAAATATTTTTTTGTATCTTCATATTATTTATTAAGAGTTTTGTTACAACCATTCATCCTCCACATTCCACGTATGTAGTAAGATACATTACACATGCGAGTTATTATTTCTCTTACTAACAACTTTACATCAATTTCCCAAGAATATTAACTTTTCTTACCCCTATGGTCTCTTCCCCAAATACTGCTACTGTGTAAGCTATACATTAAACTTTTATCCTCCATTTGATCCTTGTAACTGACATTAATGACTAAGTATTTTCTATCATTATTCAATACATTTTTTGCTTTACACTGAATGTCTCAGTAACTCCGACAGCACAGACTGACTTTTCAAGACCCACTTATATCACAAGAATGAAAAGGGATTAAACAATTGAGGAGACAGACATCCCAACTTAGACATGTGTCAGTTCAGTAGCTTAGCTGGGAGAAATGGATAACACGATCACTTTCAGTTACCACACTTAAAATGTCAAAGCTTGAAAAACAAACCATATTTTGGCTAACAGTAGGAATTTACAAATTGAAATGTCAGTTTGTGATGTTAGTTTTAGTTTATTGAATTTGTATAATGGGTTTCATCTATAAGGTTTAGTAACTAAGAGTGAGAACTACAAATTTATATATTAAAAATCAAAACAATTGCAGTTCAACACTTAGTCATCCCATCTGGACTTTCTCTTGCGGTCCCGTGGTGGAGCGAGCTGAACAGCCTTAGCATCACCTAAAGTCCATGAAGTGTCAGCACTGGCTGCAGTAAACTGAAAAATGTAAAAGGGAGTAAAATATCAACAGATATGTTCATATAAAAAAAATCTCAACTAATATACAGAGTTGTGTACAAAACCAAACAGTCTGGAGAAAACTGTGTTTGACCTAACCTATTTAATGAGAATAGTATTCAACATGAAATTAAAAGATGGAGGAGTTTGTAAAACATGGATATAGACTAAAAGAAGTGGAGGAATGAGTAATGAAATGAATCACAGTATAGCAAGAGAGAAATGTATGGAATGAGAAATGTATGGAGAGGGAGAACCATTCAAAGAGGCCAAAGGAAAGGCATTGTAGGTAAGAGAATACTGTATATGTATTAATGAACATGAATTAGATTGCCAATGACGATGGAATTTGTTAAAAATTCTGCATGAGACAGTAAGCGGTGAAGTTGGAAATACACGTTGTATTGTCACAAACTGTGCACCATAAACAAACATAATTAAAGGAATTTGAGTAAGCATAGTCTGAGCAATACAACTCATCCACAAAGGCAATAAATTTCAGACTTTATACTAACCTGATTCTTGTACTGTGAATGAAACGCAGCTTTCATGGCAGCAAGACGATTAGTAGCTGGGCCGGTCATGCTGGGGTCTCCACCTCCATAGGCCTGACTCGCTGGGCCTACTGCCATACTAGCACCAACACCCCCAACACCTCCACCACCAACACAACCACCACCACTACCTGCTGGTGGAGTATGGAGAGATGTTCAGAATTCCATGGAAAATTAACCAGGTACAGTATTATTGTATTTGAAAATTGTATCAAACATCTTTTGAGAATGAGCAAAAAAAATGGAATAAAAAATACTGTACAGTACCCCTCCTACCATCAAAATACATAAATAATGCTGCAGCACATAAATAAGGATTGTGGATTGTTTTATCAAGCCTCATTTTACCACTAAATGCTCTCTTTTTGTCCATCTGTGAGGGATAGTATAAATTACCATTAAACCCACATGAGAGTTCTCACAGGTCACTTGCAGACACCCCATAGGAAAAAAGTATTCATTGGTAATATGCTGATAACAGATGCTCAAATTACACTGAACACTTTCCATTCCCTGCTACTTAATATAAAGGCATGAGACTAATAAAAAATCTCATCAGTCCATATAGCACCCTCCATTAACGAGTGGTTCAATTTACGAGATTTCAGTTAAAGAGTAAGGACTTTCAGTTCTATTAACGAGTACAAATTCTATTAATGACAGCCTCTCAGTCCCAGACCTCCATAAAATATCATGGTGTGAAGGTGTGGAACAGCTTACCCCCACCAATCCGAGCAAAGACTACGCTCCCTTCCTTTAAATCATCTCTAAAAAAATATCTATTGTCTAAGTATTAATATTTCTTGTAATACCTACTATATTTACAGTACCTGCTTTTATTGTACCATCAAAACCGTTTTATCGGAAATTATCATGTAAATAGATAAGAAATTACAATTGCAATAAACATAATTGCCAACCAGACAATCCTGAAAGCTCTGTCCTCTTGTTCAACCTTAATACTGTATAACCCATGTTGTACTGCTACCCCATTGTACTTATGTTTTTCAATTCCACTGTAATTTATGTACAGCTCCTCCCCGACTTACGACGGGGTTAGGGACCCAAATCCAGGTCGTAAGTCGAAATGGTCTAAGTCGGAAATACATTACAGTACTTAAATAATACACAGAAAATCGAAAATGGGTGCCTCTTTTTCTTCTCAGCACCACAAAACACTTACTTTTAAGCTTGCCAGCCATTTTAAAGTAAATTACAAACGAAAATTTTGTCTGTGTACTGACTTTGGGACTCAAAAATACGTAATTTTACCAAATTTTGGTACGACTGAGGCAAGTCGTAAGTGTGGGTGGTCGTAAGTTAAGCAGGTCATAAGTCAGGGAGGAGATGTATATACTTATAATAAAAAAATAAAAAAAAATAAAAATAATAATAAGTAAATAAAATAAATAAATATTGAAGTGATAACCGTGGTAACATTATGAGATGATCTTATTACCACCATGCTATTGTACTGTTCCAGATGACACTAAATGTTTCATAATACTTCCTTGAGATAGATGTATAGTATACATCAGGTGCCTAAAAGAGATCTCAGGTTCTCAACTGGCTCAGCCATGTTAATATTGTTATTATTATCCACTCTGTATCTGTGTTTTTCTGGCTAAATAAACTGTTTCAATTCAATTCAATTCAATTCAACCTTACGAGAAACACGTTTTGGTGGGCACATCAGCTGATCAACTCGTCCGCCAATAAAATCGGTTCTATGTTTACCTTTGCTTCCAGTGGAGTAAACATCGAGAAAGTTGTGCTCTTGAAAATTTTTGCATTTTTACATTAAAATTATTGGTCATTCTGAAATTTAGTTAACACATTGATAATATACAGTGTAGTGTTGGTTTAAATAAAAAATCTGGGATTAGTTAAATAAATTGTTGTGAACTTAAAATTTTATTGGTGAAATTATCAAGCATGGGCCCGAAGAAATCTTGGAAGGCGATTTCAATTCAAGTGAAACAAGAAAATATTAAGAAATACTACGAAGAAGGTATTAGAACCAATGCACTCTGTAAAGAATATGGCATGTCGTCATCGACTATGCCTACAATCGGCTGTTTGCGCTGCCACTATGTAAACAAAACTGCCGGGAATTCTACATGCATACCTCACATTGTGTTAAAATATTTTATTTTTTGTTTTATTTATTATTGTAGAGTATACTGTACAATACTGTATTTTGTTTATGTTTAATGTTTTGTTAATTCTATTACCGGTACAGTGGTCCCTTGGTTAACGAACACAATTCATTCCAGAAGGTCGTTCATTAACCGAAAATTTCGTTGACCGAAACCATTGATTCAATGGGATTATGGGTAATTGGTTCCAGCTTACCGAAAATTGCATACAAATTAAAAATAAATGCAGTAAAGTACACTTACTTTGAGGTGTGTATGTAGAAGGCTCCTGGTTGATGATGATGGGAATTAGAAGTGGGGGTGGAGGAGAAGGAAGAAGAGAAGGAAGTGGGGGTAGAAGAGAAATCACCCCAAGCTTCATGCCATCATTTCACCCATAAAATTTTAAGTTCACTTGGTGTAATTCAAGATTATTTTCTTTAAATCAACACTGCACTGCACTATATATTGTCAATATGTAAAATAAATTTCAGAATGACCAATAATTGTACTGTAAAAACATAAAAATAGTTTATGTTCAAGAGTCTCAAGCAAGATGTTACCTCTACTGACCAGAGATACAAACTGACGCCTGTTTGGTGAGTTGAGTGGCTGTTTGGCGCACTAAAAACTCATTTCCTGTACTTCAATTACGTTAAATAATTGTTAAAATTACAAAAAAATTTAATATAAAACTTGGAAAATTATTGAATAGTACAACCCTCTTGATATTTACTCAAATGGGAATGAATTTAAGCCCTAGAACCAATTACTGTATTGGCAGAATAATATTCCAGCTGGTGAGCAAGAGAAAACATGTTGAGAGGAATTCGTAAGGAATTCGTCAACTAATTTTTTTTCGTTAAACGAATTGAATATTCTTTTCGTTAACCGAGGCGTTCGTTAACCAAGGAACCACTGTACTTATCAATCTCTCTAAAAAACTCTAGGTTTCGTGTTTATTGAAGACATCTTCATGTCATGAGACCCACTAATCCCCCACCCAAGAAAGGGTGACCTGATATTCCATCAGAAGGTCAGTAATATGAGACCACTAATCCCCCACCCTACCTCCACCTGACACTGAGTACAGGTCAGGTACACGAGACCCACTAATCCCCCACAGCTCCATGGGAGTGGAAAATACCAGTCTTTGCTGTAACACACAGCTTCATTCACGCCCATAAAGATTTTTAATTTTCATATATATTTATTTTACCAAACTTTTAGATAAACTATTCTGGATTATTATAGTAAAGAAATGGAGTTTCTAAGTTAATTAGAACTGTATTTACGGACTCTGATAGTTTAGACTCAAGTAAAACATCCCCAGCACCCAGAAACATTCTGGGGAAGTGGGCTAGTGTCTGTGTGTGCAAGATGTCTGGCTTAGACACTCGGAAACTTTTCCCAGTAACCGGAAAGGTTCAGAGGATAAGGAATTTTTCCGGGTTTGAGAAAGTCGTCTTGTTACCTGGAAATCTCTCATCCCCGGAAGTGCTCTGCACCAATTGTTCCGGCTAACGGGGATATCACTGTGTGTGTGTGTGTGTGTGTGTGTGTGTGTGTGTGTGTGTGTGTGTGTGTGTGTGTGTGTGTGTGTGTGTGTGTATATATACGGTATATATATATATTAATAAAACAAGATGTTTGGCCAGAAGAGTGCAAATGTCAGGTTAGACAAAAACACATGTGGTACTTTATAATAGGCCATCTTCCAGAACAGTGGGAGATGGTATTTTTACACTACTAAATATATAGGGTATATAATTTTTATAAACTAACCTGTGGATTCACTGATTGGAGTACAGCCTAGTCCTGGACGTTCTCTGAAGCCTAATCCTCGTCCCCCAAGAGCCTTCGCTTTACCTTGCTTAAATCGAGACTTACGGAACCAAGAGCTCTGCAAGGCTAGTTCCAATAGTTCAGACGGTACTTCCTGCGCAGCTCCTTCAAGGTTCCGTACCAAATGTCCTGCAAACTCCTTATCCTTATCTGTTACCAGTGTGTATGCCGTACCCTTCTCACCAGCTCGACCTTGAGGAGGAATATAAAAATCAGCATTTCTAATTTCTCAACACAGAGAAAACATTTTGAGCATTCACTGAATGTAATGGGTAAAAAGAGTTGAAAATAATCTATTTGGTGTGGAGACATGAAAAGTGTGAGTGTGAAGATGAGAGAGCTTAGGAATAGTAAGGCACCTAGAGTGAATGGAATCACTTCTGGAATTCTAAGGAAGGGATGTGAAAAGAGAATGGATGACAAGAGTGTACTGATAATTTATATATGAGAGAAAGTAGACTGCCAAAGAAATGGTAGATATCATGTATAGTCCGTCTGTATATAGAATAAAGCATAACAATGAATGTAAATATTATTGTGAAACAAATTTTTTAAGTACAGTAATCTGGGAGTGTGTGCAGTAGTGTCTGCTCAGAAAAGTATAAGGGCCAGAGCAGGACTTCCCTGGTGTGGGCTGAGATAGAGTAACAGGAGATTCTATTTCAGTCATTGATCTGGGGGGCTCAGTATATGACCTTCCCTGAGAATGAAGAGACCTGCCTACAATTTTCTCTATTTGGGAATTTTACAAACTGTCCTGCACATAAACAAAAGACTGATTTTACAAAATTTATTTCTGTGGTTTAAGAAGTAAAACAACATGACCCAGGAGGTCCTTAACTCAGTTCCTACGGAATTTTATTTACCAACTTCCCTTATTCATCATGAGTGATGTTTTGAATGGCCAACCACAAATGCTGGTTCAATAGGAAGATATTCTAAACACAATACCTAGGTGGTACGATCTATTACAGTCTTAACATTAAAATTATGAAGCTAAATTTGTTTCCTGTTCATAAATCAGTCAAACACAACTAGCAGCTTAAACAAGGTAAAATCCCCAGACTGCTAATTAGATTAAAAATTAAAATATGGGTAGGTGAGCAGTGCACAGATCATGTTTCTGTTTATCCAATGCCTGGTTTAAAGTCTGAGGGTAAATGAGTATTAGTCTGTGAAAACTAAGAGGAAAGATGTTTTGTGTACTGTACTGTATATGCTTGAACCTTATATACAAAACATCTTTCCTCTTAATTTTCACCTGGGAAAATCATCCTGCCTACTTGTTGGAGAATACCAAAGCAACCTTCACATGTTGATGTTATAATGCATTACTACTACACTTTAACAGCTACAGTCTTTAATCACTTGTGTATGGGATCCCCTCTGTACTGAATAAAATTGTTTGGCATTAGTAAAATAAAATATTAAAAGTATCCCCATAGTGAAAGGGTTATGTGCATACCTAGATTAGTAATCACACTAGTCCATCAACAACACAAATCATGTGTGAAGAACTGCAGAAGAATATAACTCACCTGTACGACCAATTCGATGCGTGTGAGTGTCTATGTCTCTGGCTACATCATAGTTAATAACAGTTCTGATATGGGGGATGTCTAGACCTCGTGCTGCTACATCAGTTGCAACCAAAATTGGCTTATCTTTTTTTTTAAATGCAGTTATAACTTCATTTCTCTCAAACTGACTCATATCACCATGCAGGAGCAGAGCTTCAAATTCTTTGGTCACCAGATTTTTGCTTAATTCCTCAGCATTAGCTTTCTTAGTAACAAATATTAACACACTGCCAGCAGACATAAATTCTACAAGGTACTGAACGAGCCAAGACCATTTATGACCACTTGAACTCAAAAGCCGAATAATCTGTGGATGGAAATAAAAAATCATTCACCAATAATTAGTGACGTATTCATAATGATAGTAACATTATTCTTACAAAAATATATACAGTAGTACCCCGATTTAAGCGGTCAATTGAACCCACAAGGTACCGCGGAAAGTGAAAACCGCGTAAAGTGAACAACAGAACATATGGGATTAATTCCAATAGAGACTGGCCTGACCCCCGAAGACCCCCCAACCTCCACTTTTTCCGACACAATACCTATATTGTAGTAAAAATAACATCTAAATTTTATGATGGTATGATCACACAATTAATATTTAAGAGAAATACAGTCGCCAGGTTAATGTCCATTTAAATAATGGACTCAAATCCCCTCTTCCCAGCTCACTAGCTCCTACCTCTCTGATTAATGTTTGGGTGAAAACTCTAGATTTTAACGTTTAGTAATAAATAATACCTCAGACTAAAGTTAGGATAATATAATTGACATTTCTGGATTCCTTGCAGGTCAGGGAATATTTTGAATGTAAACTTCATATATTTTGCACAAAAGATAAAATATTTGCTTTGTGTAAACCAAATTATTACTTTAGATCTAAAATTTGTATGTCTAATGCAAAATCCATGATGTTTATATTCAAAATGATCATCATATTGTAAGAATTCCAGCAATGTAAATTATATTCTGGCCGGGTAATTTGTATGAATTTTATGAGCTAAAACATATATCTTCAGTAAATAAACAAAGAAAATTCTTCAAGGACACTATCTATCAATCAAAATACTCCGCCCTAGCTGGGTCTGTCCCTCCCTCCCTCCCTCCCTCCCTCCCTACCAGAGAAGTGATTGGAAGAAAATAGTATATTTACATTTTTAGTAATAAATAATAACTCAGACTAAAGTTAGGATAATATAATTGACATTTCTGGATTTCTTGCAGGTCAGGGAATATTTTGAATGTAAACTTCATATATTCTGCACAAAGGATAAAATATTTGCTTTGTGTAAACTAAATTATTACATTAGATCTAAAATTTGTATGTCTAATGCAAAATCCATGATGTTTATATTCAAAATGATCATCATATTGTAAGAATTCCAGCAATGTAAGTTACATTCTGGCCGGGTAATTTGCATGAATTTTATGAGCTAAATAAAAAAATAAAAAATTTATACTTCACCGCGTATATGAGTAGAAGCACCGCGGAAAGTGAAAGTCTGGTTCTGGCAAGGTACCGCGTAAATGAGAAATCAGAAATCGCGGAAAGTGAAACCGTGTAAAGCGGGGTAATACTGTACAGTCAACCCTCACTTTACGCGGTTAATGTAACCCACAGGGTACCGCGGAAAGTGAGAAACGCGTAAAGTGAATAACATAACATATGGGATTAAATGAAATAGAGACCAGCTGACCCCCAAACTCCACTTTTTCCAACACAATACCTATGTTCTAGTAAAAATAACATCTTAATTTTATGATGGTACATGCACACAATTAATACTTAACAGAAATAGAGAAATACAGTCGCCAAGTTAATGTCCATTCAAATAATGGACTCAACTCCCTCCCCCTGTAATAGGCCCCTGTCTCATCAACAGAACGTATTATATAAATGGGTCAATACATCTGATATTATATTCAGATTCACCACCCTGTAACTTTCCACTGTCTATGAGTAAGACATGAGATGGACACGTGAGCGGGCAACTTACCCAAGAGGGCGAGACCCATAGCTCAGCATTTCTGTAAGCACGCACTGCGATGCCCCTAAGCTTCAGTAGCTCACCTCAACTCATATCGTAAGGACGTGACCTAACGTTTATCATACATAAACGCCGTCCCTTTCTCATTCACTCCTAGACAGTGAGACTTACGGTTGATATACACTCAGGAATTATATCTACAACCTTTTATAATAAAACAAAGGAACTACCGTTTGGGTTTCGTTACTTAAAACCCAAATATAAATGTGTGTGAACGGACTGGTTAATTGGACAAGCAGCCGATTCACCCCTCTTCTCACACTACACTCACTGGCTCTTCCCTCTCTGAGAAATTTTGGGGGGAAAACCAGGTATAGTAATAAATAATACCTCAAACTAAAGTTAGGATAATATAATTGACATTGCTGGATTCCTTGTAAGACCAGGAATATTTTGAATATAAATGTCATATATTTTGCACAAAAGATAACATTTACTCAGAGTAAACATTATATCTAAAATTTGTATGTTTAATGCAAAATCTATGATGTTTATATTCAAAATGATCATCAAATTGTAAGAATTCCAGCAATGTAAATTATATTCTGGCCGGGTAATTTGTATGAATTTTATGAGCTAAAACAAATATCTTCAGTTAATAAAAAAAAAATATTCTTCACGACACTATCTGTCAATCAAAGTACCCCACCTTGCCTCCCCCCCTCTTTCAACCGACCAGATGGTCAGTTAGTCCCAACCCTCCCCCCCACCCCTCCCTTCAAGAGAAAGGTTGGGTGAAAAAACTAGATTTTAGCATTTAGTATTAAATAATACCTCAGATTAAAGTTAGGATAATATAGTTGACATTGCTGGATCCCTTGTAAAACCAGGAATATTTTGAATATAAATGTCATATATTTTGCACAAAAGATAACATATTACTCAGAGTAAACATTATATCTAAAATTTGTATGTCTAATGCAAAATATATGATGTTTATATTCAAAATGATCATCAAATTGTAAGAATTCCAGCAATGTAAATTATATTCTGGCCGGATAATTTGTATGAATTTTATGAGCTAAAACAAATATCTTCAGTTAATAAAAAAAAAAATATTCTTCACCCGTGCCAGGTGGTCGGTCGCCGGTCCCTCTCTCCCTCCCACCCCCCACCAACCCTCCCTACCAGATGAATGTGTGGGAATACCAGACTGTTTACCTTTTTAGTAATAATTAATAAATCAGACTAAAGTTAGGATAATATAATTGACATTGCTGGATTCCTTGTAAGACCAGGAATATTTTGAATATAAATGTCATATATTTTGCACAAAACATAACATATTTACTCCGAGTAAACATTATATCTAAAATTTGTATGTCTAATGCAAAATCTATGATATTTATATTCAAAATGATCCTCAAATTATAAGAATTCCAGCAATGTAAATTATATTCTGGCCGGATAATTTGTATGAATTTTATGAGCTAAATAAAAAAATTACACTTCACCCGCGTCTGGCAGGGCACCGGTGGAAACGCGGAATGTGGGACCACGTAAAGTGAGGGTTGACTGTATACTGTACATACATACATTAAACCTGGCACTGACTGACACTTAGAAAATAAGCATAAAATTTTATTCTATAGTATCACCATGTTTCATTATTTGCTAGACAAGAAATGTGTAATACTTACCTTTAAGGAAACTTTGCAGTTACAGTATCACATATTGTAAAAGTACAGTACTGTGCACACAAAAGAGGCAGCATTATTTTAAAATTTACTAAACACTTCAGTTCTCCAATACAGTAATTTCTCTATTAGCCGGAACAATTGGTGGAGAGCACTTCCGGGAATGAGAGATTTCTGGGTAACAAGACGACTCTCTTAAAACGGGAAAAAAATCCCTCATCTCAGGAATTTTCTGGATAATGGAAAAATGTTCTCGGAAGTTCCAGAAAATGTGCCCCTCGGAAATTCCGGCTATCAGAGAGTTTTGGTGAAGAGGGATTCCGGCTAACGGAGATACAGTGGTCCCTCAGTTAACGAATAAGCTCCCATAAGGATCGTCAATTCGGTTAACGAACAAAACTCCGATTAATGAAATCCTTATGACAAACACGTTTTGTTATGAGCATCAGCTGATTGGCTAGTCCACCAATACAGTGGTCCCTCGGTTCCAGAAGGTCGTTCGTTAACCAAAAATTTCGTTAACCGAAACCATTGTTTCAATGGGATATTGGTAATTGGTTCCGGCTCACAGAAAAGTATATACAAAGTAAAGTCAGAATATAATTTACATTGATGGAATTCTTATAAGATAGAGATTAATTTGAATATAAACAAGCTAAAATTTGCATTAGACATACAAATTTTAGATCTGATTTAAGAATTTTATAAGGGAGAGCAAAAATTTTATCTTTTGTGCAAAATATATGAAGCTTATATTCAAAATATTCAAAATATTATTCAAAAATTATATTACCCTAACTTTTGTCTGAGGTATTATTTATTTTTAAACCTGTAATCCTAGTCTTTTTACCCAAACGTTTCTCAGGAAGGTGGAGGGTAGGGAGGGAGGGGTGACAGTGACATGTTTGACAGTTGGCGCCTGTGGTGTGAAGTATTTAATTGTTAGTTTATTTTTTTTTCTTTTAGATTGAGTTTTTGTTTTTTGTTTATAAAATTTAATAGAAGTGACCAGGGTGAATTTAATTTGTATTGCTGGAATTCTTATAAGATAGTGCTTAGTTTGAATGTAAACATAGAAGAGATCACTGAATTGGCTGAGTACCTCCTCAGCTTATCAGCTGATGTTCAAACCAAAATGTGATTTTCGTAAGGATTTCGTTAATCAATTTTTTTTCGTTAACCGAAATTTCGTAAACCGAGGCGTTCGTTAACCGAGGGACCACTGTACAGTAATCTGTTCTATGTTTACATTTGTTTCCAGTGGAGTAAATATCAAGAAGGTTGTGTTCTTGAACATTTTTGCACTTTTTATATTAAAATTATTGATCATTCTACATAAAGTTTTTCAACTAATATTTTTGGCTCGATATAAGTAACTTTATTCATTTATTGAAACTCATTTACATGCACACACTGTTCTAAGGGTAAAGCTGTACTGTACATGTAATCAAAATAATGTACAAAATGATTACTAAAATTTTTGTCTAGTGCAAACTATAGCATGTTTACATTCAAATTAATCACTATCTTACAAGAAATCCAGCAATGTAAATTAAATTCTCCCCGGTCACTTCTATTAAATTTTATAAGCAAAAAACCAAAACTCAATCTAAAGGACATAAATAAACAAATAAATACTTAACTAGACCTTCAGCGCCAACTGTCAAACATATCACCTCACCTTCCGCTCTTCCCCCCTCCACCACGCTCCGTCCCTCCCTCTCCCCCATCTGCCCAGCCAGGGTTTAAGACTTACAGTTTTTATCTTATATAAAATCTCAGACTAAAGTTAGGAGAATATAATTTCCATTACTGGAATCCTTGCAAGACAGCGAATAATTTGAATATAAATGTCATATATTTTGCACAAGTGATTATATATATATATATATATATATATATATATATATATATATATATATATATATATATATATATATATATATATATATATATATATATATATATATATATATATATATATATATATATACACACACACACACACACACACACACACAGAGTAAACCCTCACTTTACACGGTCAATTGAATCCACGGAGGCCCGCGTAAAGCGAGAAACGCGTAAAGTGAACAACATAACATATGGGATTAAATGAAATAGACACCAGCTGACCCCCAAACTCCACTTTTTGAAGGCACATACCTATGTTCTAGTAAAAATAACATCTTAATTTTATGATGGTACATGCACACAATTAATACTTAAGAGAAATAGAGAAATACAGTCGCCAAGTTAATGTCCATTCAAATAATGGACTCAACTCCCTCCCCCTCTTCTCACACTACACTGCTGGCTCTTCCCTCTCTGAGAAATGTTTGGGGGAAAGACCACTAGATTTTAAGGTATAGTAATAAATAATACCTCAAACTAAAGTTAGGATAATATAATTGACATTGCTGGATTCCTTGTAAGACCAGGAATATTTTGAATATAAATATCATATATTTTGCACAAAAGATAACATATTTACTCAGAGTAAACAAAATACTTAGAGTAGATCTAAAATTTGTATGTCTAATGCAAAATCTACGATGTTTATATTCAAAATGATCATCAAATTGTAAGAATTCCAGCAATGTAAATTATATTCTGGCCGGGTAATTTGTATGAATTTTATGAGCTAAAACAAATATCTTAAGTTAATAAAAAAAAATATATATTCTTCACGACACTATCTGTCAATCAAAGTACCCCACCTTGCCTCCCCCCTCTTCCAACCGTGCCAGATGGTTGGTCGGTCCCTCCCTACCAGAGAAATGTGTGGGAGAAACAAGAATATTTACCTTTTTAGTAATAAATAATACCTCAGACTAAAGTTAGGATAATATAATTCACATTGCTGGATTCCTTGCAAGACCAGGAATATTTTGAATATAAATGTCATATATTTTGCGCAAAAGATAACATATTTGCTCTGAGTAAACAAAATACTTGCATTAGATCTAAAATTTGTATATCTAATGCAAAATCTATGATGTTTATATTCAAAATGATCATCAAATTGTAAGAATTCCAGCAATGTAAATTATATTCTGGCCGGATAATTTGTATGAATTTTATGAGCTAAATAAAAAAAATTATACTTCACCCGCGTACATGAGTAGATGCACCGCGTAAAGTGGGAATTCCAATTCTGGCAGGGTACCGCGTAAATGTAGAAACGCGTAAAGTGAAACCGCGTAAAGTGAGGGTTCACTGTATGTACTTTTCTGTGAGCTGGAACCAATTACTCAATATCCCATTGAAACAATGGTTTCGGTTAACGACATTTTCGGTTCATGAAAGACTGTGGAACGAATTGTGTTCGTTAACCGAGGGACCACTGGTACTGTATTAATAATCTCACAAATTCAAAAAACATCTCAAAATCATGAGGGTGAATTCTTGGTGGTGCATAAGTGCTTCTATATGTACTCCTAATTTGTATAACAACTATGAGCAAAAAATATTTAATAATCATCGCTAACTCATGTATGTTTGAACAATGACCGTAAAATATTTTTTATATAAGTTTGTTGTAAAAATACAAAATACCTGTAAACTGTACTTTACTGAACAAGTCACACAATGGTTTATAAGTACATAAAGCCAATATGAACAACGTGAGATAATTTTATCCCTAGAAAACAATGTACAGTACAAATAAATTTCTGAAGTTTCATACCTGTGTTACATCCTGGTTTGCTTCTCCAAGTTCTCCTTGTACTACACGGACAGGGTCTGTCAAGACATCTCTAGCCAGTCTCTCAACTTTTCTCTTGAAAGTGGCTGAGAAGAGGAGAGTTTGACGATCTGGCCGAACATGGTCACATATAGACCTTACCTAAAATAATATTGCAGGTTATATTGACTATCTTATTGGACAGATAACATTAAATATTATAAAAAACATATATAAAAATAATACCGTATATACTCATGTATAAACTGATCTCATATATACAGTAGTTCGACCTCTGATTTTGGGGCAAAAAAAAGCCCGAGTTTTTCATATAACTTGTAAAATTTGATCCGAGCTTTTGAGAAATACTAGATATAATCCTCGACATAATTTGTAGCAAGACACCAGATTCACACCAACGTGCCTTTGCCATGATCACCACCACAACAGCTGATGCTATGAACACTGTTACCAACTCTGAAACTGAATTCCCACCCGTTACCAAACTCCTATAAGGAATAAGATAAAATGATATACGTAGACCTGTACCAGTAAATTTTTATCATGTGAAGGTTAGATAAATATTAATACTGTATGTAAAATAAAACAAAAGAATACTATAATGCCATTTGGCTGCTGATAAAATTTGTCAATCATTTAAATACACAAGGGAGACAGCTCAAAACAGCTGAGTTATCACCCCCGCCCCCCCGTTCAGTGTGAACTCTTAACACACGAAGAAAGTTTATTCCTTTTATGTTTTTGACTTTATGAAAAAATTTTGGGGCACATTCTGAATGTAAGATTGAGTGTGCATGTAACAAAAAAAGAAGAAAATTACGTATATCTGCCTGAATTTACAAATTGAAAAATAACCATAACAGCTGGCCTGGAGTGGTAGGGGAGGGCTAAGGGGATGTACAGTCAGTTCTTCTATAACGCGATAGTTGTGTTCTTGTAAAACATCGTGTTATAGAAATTCGCGTAATAGAAATAACAGGGCTTATGGAGAAAATAGGATTAGGTGCAGATTACTACTCGAAATCGAAAAAAATTTAGTAGTTAGCCTAACACAAAGGATAGCACAGTCTAAATAAATGTTACATTCATATCTAATAATGAAATCATACAGTAAATGTAACACTTTACCTTGAAAAAATATGAATATAACTTGATGGGGGAGAAGGGTGATTTTGAGGTTGATAACATCAAGCTTCTCTTCAAGTGTTATATCCTTTCTTTTACGATCATCACCGGGAATTCGATCACCAGAACGCTTCTTGGAGATATTCTTCTTTACCATATTCACAGTTAATACAACAAAATTGGAGAAATAGTAAGCAAAAATTGCGTTACAGCAAACAAGCGTTCGCGTTATACAAATATCGTTCCTCTATTCATAAATCGCGTTAGAGCCAATTTGCGTTGTCAAAACACGCGTTATAGCAGAACTCACTGTAACTATAGTGACGGGTCTTGTGTTACTATTACAAATACAAAACTAAAATAAAATACAAAAAACATAAGGAATATTATTACAGATGTAAAGTAACGGCCTACAAGGTACATTAAAAGAGTGAAGCAAACTCTCAACCTCCTTTCCCAGTATTCATAAACCATACTACCTACCTTGCTTATGTTATTAATAATTGTGCTACTTCAAACAACATTTGTATACGACCTAGATGAAAAATGCAGCTAAAACCATTAAAGAAAAGCTAAATGAAAGTTTAACACAACTGCCATTTGCATAGACACTGGCTGCTTGGCCTCAACACCAGTCATAGCAACGGAGCCCAGCTGGGACACTGCCTCTGTTGACTCCCTAGCAATGCCCCCCAACACACACTCCACTACCTCCTCCTCCCCTACTCAACCTGCTAACTCATCCACAAAGAAATGCTTAGTCCTTTATGTGTCTGGCCTCATAATTATTTATTTTACCCCCCTTTTTTTGTGTACATATTTTGTATGTAGGATTGTGTGTACACATATCTGACAAAAAAAAAGACAAGAAAAAGGTTACATATACATTATACTCTAAATTTAACGTAATCAGATATAACGAACTCTCAATTTAGTGGAATGCATTTTTTCCGTTATTTTTGCTTGATTTAGTGAACTAGTTCGCTAAATCAAGATTA